AGGAACATGAAATTCTGAAGAAGAGCTTTGTGGCATAATACCTCCAGTTATATCAGTAGACTCACTGAGTGGAACTGAAGCAGTAAGGGATTCACATGAAACGAGTCCTTTTAAAGCCTTGTCCTACAGATGAAAAAGCATTCTTTACATTCTAAACCTAAATATACACCACAGTTGACAAAGACTACAACGGCAAAAAAAAAAAAAAATACCATGTCAACTAATGGCAGGCCATTTAAATTTTCACCACCCTGCGATAGCTGTGTGACACTCTGGAAGGTACTGTTACTACATTTTCCAGTCATATCAGTTTTATTTGTGCAGTCTATGCCACCTCTTGAAGCAAAAGTACTATGCACGCCTCAAGGATATGAAATAAATGACATTATTCAATCAGCAGCGTGAATACAAAGTAAAATATGGACAGGAAAAACTTTCTGAATGTACTCTACCACAAATTTGGCTGTTGAGGCTTGGCCTCCACATTCATAATGACAGGGGGATTCTTCAGGCCGCCAATATGCTCAATTGGAAAATTTTCCTGCCAGTGACTTGTTACTTAACACATATACTTATAAGAAATGCTAAAGGTAGCATTTTTCAGTCCGAGTTTCAGACATGATGTAATATAATATGAAAATGTACTAAATAGCCTCACTAATTACATCTAAAAGAAAACTCAGCCAACCTTAACATTTTCCTTCTTGGAAAGCATCCGAAGCGTAATACTGTTTTTTCGGACAGGAAATAATTCATCCACACGTGTATCAATGTATCGTGGTGCTTTTGATGAATCGGATAGTCCAGAAACTGCTCCATCTGTGTTCCTACAGTAAACAAGCAATTTGCCAGTTAGTACGATCCAGAGAAGTTGTAAAAAATTACATGACAAATTTACCTCATATAACCAGTTATGGGAGCTGGAGATTCATCTACAAGCTCAATTAAATTCTTCCGCTTCAGTAGTTCTCCCTATCATTTGAACATATAAAGTAATGCATCTCAGCATCTGAATTATATAGTTACTACAAGAGAAAATGAGTTAACACTTTTTTTCTTTTCAGCAAATGGTATCTCAAAATAC